GGGGAAAAAAAAACGAAGGGGATTTATGTGTACTGTTTTCAGTACTGTTTTCGTTGAGTTCCCGGCTAAACCTCAGTCCCTTGACGCTCAGTACTGTTTTCGTTGAGTTCCTGGCTAAACCACAACTCCCAAGATGCATCCAGGTTCTAGGGTGTCAGAGAAGCAGCTTCCGGTTTAGGCCAGTGCGGCTGCGCACAACATGTGGTCTTATTGGATCGAACCTCCTCGTGCGATTCTCGTCAGGGCGACGTGCGGCCGTGAGGGCGGGCAGACGCGGCGGCGGCGGTCCGGGAGGCGCGCGCACGATCCCAGACCGGGTATCGCGGCGGCGGCAGCGGCGGTGGAGACATCGGGTTGGGCCCCTTCCCTTTTCCGCTCCCCCCCTCCTCCCCCTCCCCTCAGCTGTGGTTCCCGAGGAGTCCGAGACCTGCGGCGAGACGGCGGAAAGCTCTAGGTGAGGGTCTCTGGAGTGCGAGCACCGTTTCCCGGGCTAAGAGGGAGAGCCCGGGGTCGAGGAGGAGGTGACGGCTGAAGGGGCGAGTGTCTCGGGCGCGGGCCGGGGAGCGCGCGCTCGTCCCAGCTCTGAACTTGGCCTCCTGACTTGACCTGTCGCCCCGCACAGTGTGCGGCTCGGCGGCCGCAGGGGCCGACCGTGAGGGTCCTGGATTCGTCCTCCTTTCAACCACTGTCTCTGGAGCCTGGCACTCACCATCGCCTCGCCCCTCCCAGCAAAGGGTCCAGAACCCTCTTAGCTATCCTTCCTTCGAGTGCACTTGCCTTTCCTTGTTGCCCACGGGGAGAGTACACCCTCTGTTTCTTCATTACCGTCTTTTATCACTTATAGCAATTTCTTTGGTGGCAGGCTTCGAATGGGTTCTGCTTAGTACTGCTTTGACAGTACCTGGAGTGGGAAGATTTTCCTCACCTTTTCTTAGGTGGTATTTGGAGCAGCCTACTTGGTCGAGTACCTTGGGTCCTGTTTTCCCAAGCCCCCTTGGGCTTTTCGTCCGTCAGTAGCTTCTTTTAAAACTACTGATAACAGGCTTTAAATAGGAGAGTTTGGATTGAAAACTAGTAAGTACTTTCTCTTCCTGGCTTTTGACCTTATTTTAAACGTTTGCCTCTGGAATTTGACAACTTCATTTGATGGCCCAACAGTGAACTTTGGTAGAAACTGGTTGATTTATCTTTATTGCAGGTTGTTGGCATTTTTTTAGTAGGATGGTTTTTAAATATTTTAATTTTTAGATTCTGGATTTCCCAGCCTTATGTTATTCCCATTATATCTCTTCCAAAAATAGTCCTCACCCCTGCCCTCAAGAAACCATTTAAAATTCCAAGATATTTGTCATAACATTTAACATCATTTGATCACAAAACTCTTCTCAGTGAAATGTTAAAAATAATTTCCTTCAGTTCAAAGCTTTATTTTTTTGGTAGGGGGAGATTATAAACTTTTGTCGGTTCTGCAGTTTGAAATGTCCTCATAACAGGGGCCACCTTTATGTCTCCTTTCACCACCCTCTGACACTTATTCTGTTAGCATTTCATAGATTTTTCTTTCCTAATTTTGCATTTATAGAAATTTCATTTCTAATGCTGTTGTTCATAGATATTTTCATTCACAAATTCGTCAGAGTGGTTACTGTAATCTGTAACTAAAATCATTTATTTCATCAGTACTCTGGACTTCCATACATGTGGCAGCTGCTTGGTGGTGAATTATGAAATTTGAAAAAAATTTCAAATTGACTTAAATATGAAAGCCATATTTCTTTTAACTTCTGTTTTAACTGCCTACTCACCAGTGTATGTGCCTGTTTAGACTTTAGGCTACTGAGTAGCAGATTTTCTTATTGGCGTTCTAGGGACGAGAGGAAGATTTACAGAGTCCAGTTTGTGTTATTCTATCCTTAGACTTGTATGAATTAATAAATGAGTGGACTTTTTCCATCATTAGTATCAGTATAACTGATGTACTTTTTTGATATAAATCTCATTTTGTTTTCCAAAATGAAAATAATTTGGTTTTATTTTTCATTTCAGGGGTCAGCAGACTTTACAGCTTGTGGGCCAGGCCCTGCCAGTTGCCTGTTTTTGTAAATTAAGTTTTTATTGGGACATAGCCATATGCATTCATTTAGATATTGTCTGCAGTTGCTTTTTTGGTGGAATGGTAGAGTTGAGTAATTGGGTAACAGAGTAACAGAGACCCATATAGCCTGCAAAGCCTAAAATACTATCTGGCCCTTAATAGAAAAAGTTAGCTGATGCCTACTTTATTTTATTAAAAGTGATACATATTCCATGTAGAAAATTAAAACGAGTCAGGAGAGTATAAAGGAGGTGAAAATTATCCAGAATCACACAACTGTTTTTTGTGATTATCCTTATAGACTTTGTTAGTAGTTCTATTTATATAAATGGGCTCATATTGCTAATTGTTAGTTTGTAATTTGCTTTAAAAAAATCATAGGTTATTTTTATTTGGCAGTTGAATACATTTGTATTTTCTATATCAAAGATCTCCATAGAAAGGGGCTTGATGAATCAAGTTTTCTTGATTTGTCTTACTAGTCAAGATTTAAAAAAATTCAGGAATAATGGATGCTTGATGATGAATAATAGATGCTTGATAATGATGGTGGTGGTGGTGGTGGTGGTGAGCACTTGCTATGTACTATATATTTTCCCAGTACTTTACATGTATTAAGTCATTTAATACCTGCAGCTGCTCTATGGGCACACATACAGTTATCCCTATTTACAAATGAGGAAACTGAGGAAGAGAAATTAATTGCCCAAATTTATCAATAATTAATGGTAGAGCTGGCATTTGAATCCATGTAGTATAGTTTCAGGATTGAGGTGGTCAATATGCTACAGAGCCTCTCCTTAGAGTATAGCTCAGTATAGAAAATTTAGGTTTCCTCCTTATGCTCTTTCCAGTTTCACTGTAAAAAACTACTGTTTACCGTTTCACTTAGAGCTTCCAGCTCTCTTTGTCTTCATATGTAAGTGTTTATTTGCAAATCTGTTTACATATGCAAGTTTTAAAAAAAATTAATAGTTTCTTAGTGCAGTTTTAGATTTACAGAAAGTTGTTCATTTAGTACAGAAAGTACCCATAGTATCTATCTCCTATTTTTCCTTATTCATAAAATTTTGTTTTAATGTGGCATATTTGTTAAAATTGAACCAATATTGTTATGTCGCTATTAATTAAAATCTAGTTTACATTAAGGCTTATTTTTTGTGTTGCAGAGTTTTTTTAAAAATCGAGATCAAACCAATCATTGTTTATCAGTGTGCTTTTTGGGTGGTTTTCAAAATAATAGTACTTCTAGGCTTTTAAATATAAATCAACATTCTCAATTCATCAATTTTCAGATTAGTGATACAAGTATAGTATTTTCCTTGTAGTGGAAAACTTGCTTGGGAGTTGCTTCTTTTTTTTTCAGAAGTTTATCTTGTAGCACTAACTGCTTTTCTCTGAAGGAGTGCTTATTATTTTTGACTAGACATTCTGGCTCTTCCATGAAACAGTTCAGCTTCTTGGAGAGTCCTTGGTGTTCTTCATCGGAAGAATGATTGGTGTACATAAACCTGTTTACCGTCAGTATCCTTCTCACTGAGACTGGTACTTCCGCATCCATCTTTATTGTTCTTGGCCTTCTCTGCTTCTTTCTCAGCTTGCAGAACTTATGTTCAATTAGCATCTAATTGTCCATATTCTTGCACTCTTGATTTTATCAAGGCCTCGCTAGTCTTAACCTTACAATTTCTTCTGCAAACATCTAAGGATTCAGTGTTCAGATGAACTGGATCAAAGTTCTAACAGATATCGCATTCTTATCTTTGTGTGTTTTATAATACTGGGCCGGTCTTGAGGAAGTTCTTATGTCATTGAGCTGTTATCTTTCATAGCACTGATTCCTACTGTCATGACTTTCAGAATTCTTGTCCATAACAAAATGGGTGGCCACACTCATGAGCAATGACTGAGTGATCTTTGGGTTACTAGGTGATGAGATGTTTGTGCGGCAAACATCTTGTTATTTCTCTTTTGTTTGATGCTGCTGCAGAAACCTTTGTACAAAGGGATAGAAGTTAGGGGAAAAAAGCTCATGAATTCCCACCAATCTGGTTATAACGTTCATGAGCATAGTCTTCACTTCAAACATCAACTTCACTCCTTAGAACTCTTTAGCTGCCTTAGTAGTTTTTTTGCAAAATATTGGGGATTATGAATCAAAAACTTAAACAACTATTTGTTTTTTTTGTTTCTTAAGCATTTCATAACATTTCAACCTTTTTTTGTGTCTGGAGTCTTTCTTCTCTGTGGTATACTGCACTAACATTCTGAGTTACTGTCCTGTTTCTCTTGTTCATCTTTACCTAGGAAGAATGTCAAGGCAGCGACTAATACCTTGGTGACTTTAGAGAAGCATGTAGTTGTGATAAAATTGACAGTCTTGGCATCGTTTCAGGTATTTCTTCTGTAGAGGTCAGTCATCACTTCCAAAGATATCTGCTTTGCAGTTGCATTGCTGTCCCTTGACATGTGTACATGAAATTCTGTGATGCTGTATTCACTTTATTCTTGTATTTTGCACTTGTATTTTCAGCAGTCATAAAAGTGGGTATATAAAGTCTTAGATGCTTCTACAGCAGTGTAGAGAAGTTCAAAGAAGAGCTCTGGCAAACTTGATGGATTGATGAGATTCTTCTCAGTGAGATCAAAGCTTTGCAAAATGTTATTGGAAGATCTAGTAGATTCAAATAGTGTAATTGTAGGAGAGCAGATCTTTTGGCTCTTGAGGAAAGTTAGCTAGATGTTCTGGGTAGCAGTGACACCATCTTTGCCAGTTCTCTGCAGGGTGTATTTGGTTGCAATTTGAAAATCTCCACATTGGATTTGTAGTGAACATTTTCCTGCTGTAGAAACTTCTCAATGTAGGCCAGAGGGTCCATTTATTTTGTAACTGCTGTAGCTTGCTGGGTAGCTCGTGTTTGTTTTTGCTGGGTACGTTGGCTGCAGACTGACTGGCAGTCAGCAGTTCTCAGAAAACCTACACTACCACCTAAGGCTGTGGCTTGGAATCATGCTTCCGGGTATGTTGGGAAACAGCTCTTGGGAAAAAGCAGGTTTCACCATCTTGGCTCATAGTAGTGTGCTTTAAAAAATAATATTCATGCATGGCTTTTCAGATCAGTACATCTGCATCTACTCTGTTCTTTTAAATAGTTCTTTAGTATTTTATTGAATGGAAGTGCCATATTTAATAGTGTTTCTATTACTGGATATTTAGATTGTTTAAATTTATTGTATATTGTACGTATGCATTCTATGTACAGCTGTTGCATTCTAATGACTGTAGGGTAACTTTCTAAGAGTATAATTACTGGGTTGAAGGAAATACATTTTTTATTTTGATGAATATTACCAGACCT